TTCACAGGTGATTTGCTCACTTGTTCATGTTTGTATGTTGACCATCTGGTTTCATCTCCGATCTCTTACAGAGAGGGTACGACGAAGAGCTGGGAAATTCAGGAGAGAAAATACTGTTTGAAATACCTAATGTTTGGAAATTTAGTGTTGCAATGGACTTGCTGTATAAATCTGTTACACARACTTACTGCACACGTTGAAAATATTCCTGATGGATCAGAAAGCAATGTCTACCCACAGCTGGAAATACCCTGCTTGTTCCAAGTGTGCTCTGGAAAGAGAATGAACGAGGCAATGCAAAATAAGATGGAAGAGGAGGTACTGGTGCAAATGATCTGTTCATGGCAATGTATGTGGCTGGAGATGGGAATGTGTTGCTGGCCTCAGTGTTGGGCTAGCTTTAAAGAACTTCCTTCCTTCCTCTTGCTGGAGCACAAAGCTGAGAGTGAGCTAGGGCTGGAACCTCACTCTGCTATGGGTCCATCTTGGTGGGGGTCTGGAAGCAGAGCTTTGTTAGTTTCTATTCTAATCTCAGTATCAAGCCTGGAATATCTGATGTTCAGAGGTTCGTGGACTACATGGCTAACTACATGGCTACATGACTAAAGGAGTATATAATAAAAAAGGACTTCTGTGGCTGTTTGGAAAATGACCTTCTTGGGAACTGCTTCCGGCCTTGGAAGCTGTTTCTTGTTCATGTCTCGAGGAGGACATTGACTCTTCTATCAGGCTGGTAACACGCTCCTTCCCAGAGATGCCCTYGCTGAGGAGCAGTTTGTGACCTGGGGATCCAGAGCAAGGAATAATGCAGATGCTTTCAGCATTCATGTAAACAGACTTAATCCAGGCTGCTGCTTGGGGCAACCAAAGAACACATTCGCTTTGGTTCATCAGATGCCTCACTAGTCCCCTTGGGGACAGTGTGCAACCTTACACTGAGCCAAAGCAAATGATCTTGTTTTCCTCCAGGACTTTATGGGCTGTTTGAAGCAATGTATCTCTAGCACCCATCACATGAGAACTTCATGAGAACTTCATGAAAACTCAGCAGAGTTGTACTGGGTCAGGCTAAACGTCACTGATAGCTAGACTCTATGTCTGCCCATAGACTCATACCCTGTCTCCAACACTGGCCCCAGAGGATGAATGTGGAAGAATATAAACACAGGATAATCATGCATGCTATTTCCTTGCCCATTTTTCCAGTCCTTATTCATTTGTTGCTCTGGGACCTCCTAACCCAGGTATAATTTCCATGTACTTACAAACGCTTCACGGATTTCTCTTCCAGAGACTCACCTGGCCTTGCTTGGAACTCACAGCAACCTTCTGTATCCTGAACAGTATCAATATCCTAAAGAAGGGAGTCCTACAGTTCAACTATCTCGTGTAGGAAAACCCATCTTCTTTAATAACCCGTGTACCTGCAACTTGATGATCTCATTTGATGCCTTATTTCTTGTATGTAAAGAACAGTGAATAATCATGCCCCTTCTCAGTTCCTTTCTGATCAAAAAGTTCTGGTCAGTCATGCTTTATACAGATGCTGCCCCAGATGTTTGATCACGGTTCTTGCTTTGCTCCGAACCTTTCCCAGTTCCATCCCATCTTTTCTGAGCCATGGAAGAATGCAAGAGAGGGACAGCAGACAGTGTGCAAGTTGCAGGTGAACCAGTCATGACAATGACACACATAACAACGGTCTCCGCTATGTTCTTCACTYAATTTTTAACAGTAAATTCACCTTTTGATCATAGAGGACAGTTTATAAAACCCCCAAGAGGGCTCATTATCAGAAAGCTCACACAGTGAAACTCCACATAGTGCATAATAAACGCCTCTATTCACACAGGTTTGAAAAGCGGCCCCTGCCATGTACCTTGCAGGGAGGAATGTCTTCCATTGCCCCGGGGGAAAAAACCCGTTCTCTAGTCATTCTCCTCTTTCACTTAGTTTGCAAACCTCTACTACTCCATCTTTGCTCTTCCTGACTGAAAAGTCCTAGCCTGTTTTGTGACTTTAATAGATGTGTATCTACCTCAGTTACTCCCATTTTCTCTAATAGGTTCTCTCTATTGTTTTTTTTTTTTAAGATGAACAGAACAGTTTGAGAGTTTTCTGCTGTTGGAGATGCACAAGATGAAGCTCAGCTGGGATTTATACTGGTACTCATGGTTTGATTCTGTTTTCTATTTCTCTCCTAATAATTCTTAACATTCCCTTTGTTTTTTTTGTCTCCTGCTGAACGACAAGTTGTGTTTTCACAGGGAAACTATTATAAGTCATACATTAAATTTCATTATAACTCCAAAATCTTTCTTGAGTGTTGGTAAATAGACCATCAGAGATATGTAAAGAATATTGCCTTTCAGTACTTTCTTCAACCACATACTTTCAAAAACTGCCTAAGAGCCATTTTCCCAAGTGAAAATACAACAAACAAACAAAACACACACAATAATAGCAAAAATAATAGCAAAAAAAGCAAAAAAAAAAAAAAAAAA